GGGGGACCATGAGTTAACTTGACTCTGGAAGGAATCTGGGACAGAAGTTCAATACAGTGATTTAACCTAAATCAGTTAAGGTCTGATACTACATCCATCCAGGTTTATCTTAAATCAGTTTCAGTCATTTTAAAAGTAGCTTATGTGTACTGAATTTCTGTTGTGTTAGATTTGAACTGGTTTCCAATCGCTTATACTGGTTTTTGTATAATTTCTGTCCCTAGCCCTTAAGTTCTTTCCTTTAGACAAAATGGAAGAAGGGAAAGACTGGGAAAGTATCTGTAACACTGCACCAAATAAAACTGACCACTATAGTTATTGTGATTATCTTCCACTCTAGTTCCTTTTCATTTTCTTACCATGAATGTAGGCAAGCCAAGAAATAAAGAGACGCACGATTCCAACTCTTAACTATTGTACATATCCACATAGTGATGGAGTTTGGCCATATTAGTTCATTTAAAAATGGCCTTACGATGGAAGGCTAACTTCAATTTTAATATGATGATAAGAATAGCATTCCCCTCATTAGTTAGTTCCATACTGCAGACCCACCTCCCAGCTTAACTGCTGCCATTAGTTATACTTACAGCAGATCCTTTTTTGATATAGCTCAATTGCTTTAAGCAGCTCCATACACGTTCTCTGAATTGAGTGGAACAACTGAAATTTAAAAAAAAAACCAACACAAAAGTTATAAAATATGTGCAAGAAACACTAAAAAGTAAGAAAAAAATCTCTAAAAGTGTTTGTTCTAGGGAAGTGCCCTTACTGCTAAGATACTGGGTTAAAGACCTTCCCTTTATCCATTAGTCATGGTTTTATGGCAACTCATGGTTCAGGACTTGCCCAGTACGCATGTGCCTGGGTAATTCTATTCCCCCTATTGGCAAACAGCCTCATGGTGCCACTACAGCTTACCGGGTATGCTTAGAAGGGGAGCACAAAGGGAGTGCAGCTGCACTGAATCCCAGACTGGGACCAAGGGCAAAATAACTTGAGTTAAGGGTACAGCATGTACAGATTGCCCTAACTGAGCTTAGGACAACCTTAATGGCTAAGCATGCAAGCATTCACAATGCTTAGGTTACCGTAAAAATGGTGCACTTGATCTAAAATTAATTCTAAAGTTAGACAAGAACTAACTTTAGATTGGCATGGGGTTAACCTTACCTAGTGGCACTTGCACATGCTCACAGCACAGCCCTGGGGCTGGGAAAGCCCAGTCAATCTCCACAGCCCCAGGATGGTACTGTTTTTACACTCCTCCCCACCCCACCCTGCTCCAGACCCTGCCTGGGCTATCCCCACCCCAAAGTGGTCCCTCTCCAAACTGAGCAGATCTACCAACCCCCTCCCCTGACATACTTGCCTCCAGCTGCCTGTGCCTCCTCCCAGCAAGCAGCAAACACCTACATATGGTGATCTTGCTGAGGTTTAGGCAGCTAAACTAAATTGCCTAAACCTGAGACAGGTCCTGCAAACACTTGTTCACACCCAAGGTGTCAATGTATGTGCTACTTTGGCATGTGAAGGTAAAATAGCTGATCATTATCCAAGATGTATCTTAATGCTTGAATATAAAGAATCTCTAAGGCAAGGAATTTTTGGCTGATATCTTTTATTGGACCAACTGCATGCTTTAGATAAAGTTAGACAAGCTTTAAAATCCCAACTGTGTACTTAATCCAATAAAAGATATTATTCAAAAAATGTCTTGCCTGTCTCAGTTCCTAGACAACATCACTCCAACACTACCATAATGTAGTCTCTGTGCAGTTCTGCAAAATTATATATTGAAAAAATAATTACCATATCCCAACACCATCTTTACTAAAGTATTTCAATATGAAATTACAAACTTGCAAAATGGATCTATTCAGGTGCAAACTTCTTGGCTTTATTTAGACCCCCTCTTGGCAGATCTCTTTGCAAAACTTAAATCAAAGCAAGGTTGTCAATTACAATAAACTGAAAGTGACCAGGTTGGTTTCTGTTCTGAAATAAACCCTTCTCAAAAACAGAACTTTCTTAATTATTATTTTTATTATGACAGCATCTCCAGTGCCCTTATTAGACTCAGTCTTCATTATGCTAGGTGGTATACAAAGCAGATAGTAAGGGTATGTACAAAGGTTTCATTTAGATCAACATAACAAGGGGTATACAAATGTTCAGGATGGTTAGATTGGGCAAAAAATGGCCAGCTCAATCACAAGCTGCATGATTCTTCATCGAGTCCTGGGAACATATGTACATACTTGCAGCATGGTCCCAGGGCTGTACTTTTCCTTCCCTCCCCCACACCCAGTCCTGACAGGGCTAGCTTTAGCCCTCCAACCCCTTCACTGACAACCCCTTCCATGGACCCACCAGTCCTACCCCATGAACTTGACAGCCACCCTGATCCTGCCCACCCGTAAACCCAACCCAGCCATTGCTTGCTTATGTTGGTCTCCCAGCACCAATGAACTTTTATACAGCTGGTGTCTGATCTACAATCATGCTTCTTAAAGTACGCCACATAACTGTAGATAGGATCCCAGGATAACATAAGAGAGTATTCTTTTTTTATTGTCAAAACATCAGATGACCTACTAAACATGTATTCATCATTGAAATAGCGAGCACAAATTGCAGTTTTGAACTTATGCAAGTGAAAAAGTGCTTGCCCTTTTTTGCTTTGGCAAACCCTCATTTTTTTGTTTCTAATCACACTTCAGCTAACAATGCTTTTTTTATTGATGGTGCTGCAACACAATCAATGTGGCAGTAACTCAAAAGACAAACTCATAAAGTATTGTCTTCTGTGTGCATTCCTCAGAATGGGTTTTACATCACCACCCTGCTGGCTCATAACCCAGCATAAACAGTCGCCACAAAAGCAATACAGACAGGGTAAAATGCTCAGTGCATATGAACGAAATTACTGTTCAGAAAGATATGCATATATTTAATGACTGCCAGAAGCAAAGTCCCCTGCTCCCCTGGAATTAATGTTGACCTCAGCTGAAAATTGTGGCAAGCTAAGAAGTTTAGAAGTCAACAATTGGCCTTTTATATTTCCTTCTCCAAGATATGATAAAGAAATCATAAAATAAATATATTTAATTCTTTAAAAAGTAACAGATTCAATACCTGTAAAACAGTTTCTATTGTGATAAAAGTGCTGGACATACTGCCTAATTTATTTGTTTTTAGAAGCCCTCTTCCTTTCTCTCCCTCTGTACAAAAGCCTGAAGTAGAAACGTGCACGTTAAATTTTGTACGAGAGGCTTTCTGGAATATGTAATACAGTGTTACTTTAGAACTTTAAAAATATGTATATTATATTCATGTGTTTACAATATCTGTATAATATGCATTGTGATTTTAGAAGAAGCAGATTTCTTTTTTCTTTTAAAGGTACTTCACAAATGAATCTGCCATTTTTGTGCCAAGTTTCACTCTGGCTTGGTAGCAGAGATGTTATTAGAGATTTCAGGCTCAAAAAGAGTATTTCCTGTATTAGAAAATGTCAGGAAATACCTTATATTCATATATCAATTTTTAACCAAAAATGAAAAGACTATTAAATTCGAATCACTTTATCTATAGTATTCTGTGCCAACAGCACTATATAGAAGTTCACTGAACAAAACCCAAAATACAGGGGGAACGTACATAGGTATAAAATAATTTTCTAAGACATAACCTTAATGCCCAGGTGCAGTTATTACTATCAAGGTGAACTCTGGGTCCCCCTTGAAGCCAATGGGAAAGTTGCCAGGAAACTAAGATTTCACCTCTGACAGCAATAAAAAAGCAAGGTTAATAATTTCACTACAGTACTTAGAAACTAACAAAATCACAATTTTTACATGGTTGCAGAAAACTGGTTCATTCCCTTTGCTAATTCTTCCACCTTTGTACTCTATTTCTAATTCACTAATGTTTTGGCTTGCTGAGAACTTTATGATCAGGAGGCAAAATACTGACAAGTTTGTTAATTTAATTTTTTTAATGATTTGCTACAGGGAACAGCCAACAATCTAGCTACACGCGCTCATCTGTCCCACTGCAGCCAAAATATTACACATATAAATAAAACATATGGTGCATGTGCATATGTCATTATAATACAGACACTTAATTAGTCTACCTGGTTTGTAAAAATATTTCAATTGCTAATATTTATTGAAAATTCATTACAAACCTCTAGTTTTGCATCCAGGTCTGCATCTGAGGCCACGACATGTTCATCTTCCTTCTTTCCAGTGACTTTAATAAGAGTTTGTTTTGTTTTCCAATATTTTTGCTGCATTTTATTGACCACAGATTTTTCCTGGCTTTGTGCATATCTGTCATAAAATTCCCTGGAATAACTGCTGAAAACATTTTAAAAGTAAATCTTATTTAATGAAGCATTGTATTAAACTTCAAATGGGATATTTATAGCATTTAAATGAAAATAAAAGGAAAAAAGAAGAAAAGGAATATACATTCTTACTAAGTGCCCAGTATTTGCACAAATAGTTTCTTATATAACACAGCAGGATAATATATATAAATTACGAATACTTGTGGTAATGAAATAGCATAGGTAGTTTTGAATTAAAACCTTAGAATTCAATTAATCTGCGGTCTGGAAATTCTGGACTTCAATGCTACTACCATCTACCAAATCTGTATTTCTCCATTGCCTCAGTTTGATCACTATTAACATGATTAGTTATCTTCATAAATGTTTCCAGTCTTATTTTTGGAACTCTCTATAATGCTCCTGTTTGATTATGGTTCACGTGCAATGCTGCCAGTAATTGATATTTCATTTTTAGAAATTCTTCTAGTATTATGGCTGATGTACAGACATTTTGATTGGATACTTAGTGGAAGTCCTGCCATTGACCTCCACTGGGTCAGAATTTCATTCTCAATGATCACCTTTATATAAGCAAGCTTCCCTTGCCATTGTCCCTCTCTGCAACTGAACATGTAGAATAAGCACAACCACCCCAAACTACTCTATATGCATAAGACATTCTGATACCACAGCATAGATAATATAAAGAAAAGTAGCGTGAGAACTAGATAATGATAGACTGCAAATATCTTTTAATGAGAGGGACAATTCTCTACCTCTCTTATAAAACTATTAAAAGTGTAGCCAGAACAGAAAGTGCATCCTCCTACAACATTTACAGTTTAAGTGGCATAAAAAATTAGCTTCTTAATAGGATACTGACATGTTTTAGGAATGAATGGAGAAAATAAATTCTTGAAAATATACAATCTTGAACCTGAAAACATCTAAAAAAGCTGCATTAATTGTGCAAATCATTCAAAGCAATAGATTTAATATTAGTAAGGACCTATTGAAATAATGGTGGAAGTGGGATGTGCTGTGGCTCCTTTAATCTTGCAGGTTCCCTGGCCCCCTTCCCCTGATGATTGGTGGAGGAACCCTGCTTGCAGCTCACTTCTGATCAACAGGGAGGCAAAAACTGTTTAAATATGGCGTCATTATGGTGCCACTGATTGGCTGAGGGGCTCTGGATGGCCCTGCTGTTTGCTGCTGACTGGCGAGGAGGAAAAAATGGTGCCATGTTTAAAACTGCAGTTTTGGCTTCCCTGCTGATCAGGAGGGAGTGCAGGGTCCTCCGCTAATCAGCAGCAAGGTGAGGGGTGGGGGCAAGGGATGAGGTGCACCCGGGAGGAACATGCAAGATTAAAGGAGCCGTTACGCACTCTACTTCCAATGTGAATTTGGTAGGTCCACCAATATTAGCAAATCTGCCAAAGTATTCTAAAAGGATTTAAAGAAAGTATAAACTTGTATAAGTGTAATACTTGTAAAATATATAATTGCTCAGCTGTCTCACTACATGTTTAATAGCTATAGAGAAGCATAACTCCATTAGGAAACATAACTGTTCAACGGTGATATGGTGTTTGATATAATTATTTTTGTTATTATTGTTAAGTAGGGGACAGTGATTTATGGTATGTTAACTGGGAGTCAGTAACCTGATAAATAGTAGTGTAATGGGCTGGAGGGGAAGAGAGGGGAGAAGGGTAACAGGGCAGCAGCCCTGGACATCAGTTTGGTGGTGTGGATGGAAGCACAAAATAGCCACCACCTCAACAGCTGCATGCAGCACCCTGGAAGGGCTGGTCCAGGATTCACCCCAGCACACTGGATGCCCGTGGCACTCTCTCTGGCCAGTCTGGGATGCAAACTGCACATGGCACATTCTCCAGCCAGTCTTGGACAGGTGCAGTGCCGGTCTTTGAGTGATTCACAGATGTTAGGGTCGGAAGGGACCTCAGTAGGTCAGTATGCCCCCACCCCTTTTGTCCACTCGATCCCTCCTGTACAGGGTAGCTGTCTATACCTGTGGCCCAGTCATGGGTGGAGTCCCACCAGGTCTCTGTTATCCCTATGACATCATAGTTATTTGTGTTTAGCAGGAAGACAAGTTACTCCTGTTTATTCCCCAAGCTCCTGGCATTTGTGTATAGGCATGCAAGTGTCCCCTTGAGGGCCCTTGCCTTGCCTACCGTTTGTTCCAGGGCTGGGGCAGGGGTGGGATCCCTTAAATGCCTTGGTGTGCTGGCTTTGCAAGGGTTGCTTAGCAGGCTAGCAGTGGCAGTAGTCCCGCCATTCCCCAGCGGGCTTAGTTTAAAGCCCGGTGGAGCAGCTCAGCCAGTCTGGCTGAGAAGAGCCTCCTACCCAGCAGAGAGAGGTAGAGGTCATCCCTTCCCAGCAGCTCACTGCTTCTCTCGCCAAAGAGCGGACTGTAGTCATGGAAGCCAAAGCCTTACCAATGACACCAGCACTGCAGTCTTTGGTTAATTACCTGGATCCTCCTCTCCCTCCTCAGCCCACAGCCCGAGACTGGGAGGATCGAAGAAAACACCACCTGCACCCCCCGACCCTTAAGCCCCGCTCCCAAATCCCTGTAGCGCGTCATGACCTGGCTGGGAGCACTCCAAGCCGTGTCATTGGTGCCCACAGGGATGAGGAGCATAGGGTAGTGTGGTCAGTGGGCTGGAGGAGCTTAGGGATCTTCTCCGCAATGTCTTGGATTCTGGCTCCCAGGAAGCAGCAAACTTTCTGGGCTAAGGGGTCGGGGAGGCAGATTACCGCCTCAGTTCCCCTCAGGATGGAGTCTCCCACAACAAACACTTTGCGTTTTGTCTTGGGGAGAGCAGGGGCGGTAGCTACAGTAGCGCCTGTGTTGCCTGCGGGAGCTGGCAATTCAGCAGGCTCTGCTGGGACTGCAAGAGGTGCATACCTGTTGCAAAGCTCCAGCAGGGCAGGGGTCTTAGTGCGGCAGGCCTTGGGGCCCTTGACCACCTTGGTCCAACCCCTGGGCCCAATGTGACCTGCAGGGCTGGCTTCACACTGTTCATCTGGCTCGTGAACTAGTCATGCAGGGCCAGATGAGTTTGACACCCCTGCTATAAAGTAAGTTTTTGTCTGCCAAATCCCTTTGCCAGACTCAGTTTTAAAACATTTCTCCGAATAAGTCATATTTTAGCTTTAATAACATTTCAATGTATTTTACAACAAATCAAAATAAAAATAATCTTAAGTCACTTTAAGGAAAAATATTAAAACCTCACATACACCCTCAATAAAAAAAAAACAAAGATTAACAAGAGCTAAACTAGGAATGAAAACTTGTAGTTCATACTTCAGGATTTTTTTTAAAGCCTCAATCCTTCATTGTAATTTGCACAGACAGCCTGCTATGCCCACGTGGACCTCCAGTGAAGTCATGGGACAGCAAGCGCACAGGGCACTGAAACATCCAGAGTTGTTTATCTCCAGTATAGTCACATTGCCACTAGAACTATGCAGTTAATTTATTTTTCAGGTCAGTAGCCAAACAAAATCATTGGGGGTAGAGATTTATTTGGGTAACCCAGTCCTAATTTCTACTTCCCTGGGAGTCAGTACAAGTATAATCAGGCTGAAAATGTAATATGACAGGAAAGGAGTTTGGTCAACAACCCTAATAACAAATTGAAAGACTTTTTAGATAAATGAATAAGCATACATTGGAGAAATCTGAAGAATGAAACCTCTACGAATTTCCAAATGATAATTTAGTAAAATTTATATTTAAATTAAAGTCTGGAAAAAACCAGACTCCACTTTATGTTTGAAATGATCAGCATTTTAAAAACAGATTTTATGCAAGAAAGTGTTTCCTGCAAATATTCAGTAGACAGAATTGGAGAATTTTTGTTTTTAGTGTAGGGCCCTACTCAATATTTTAATCATAAATATGTCTTAATACTGCAGGAATTTAACAAACCCCAACAAAACAAAAAGGTGGATAAGTCTTTCTAAATACAGAACAATGTATTGATTTATTTGCTATGAAGCAGGAAAGAGAGAACATTATTGTTCTTCCTTGTAGAAGCCGGGTAGATTTGCACCTTATGGCTAGATCCAGACATGCAGGCAGGTGTGGTCTGTGGCACTGCAAACCTGTTCACAGCGCCACAAACTACATGCGTTGTACCTTAATCAGTGTGCAGCACTGCTAATTTACAGTGCCAAGGCAAAAAAAAATAAACCTGGAAAAAAAGCCATGCAACCCATGGCAAAGTGGAGGGTACCGGGACAAATACTGCCTGCTCCTGCATCTCTGCCTGCTGTGGAGCCCCTGTGCTGAGGCACTCCCTGGCTGGCTGAGGCGCAGTGTGCCTGGGAGGAGCAAGCAGTCTTGGGCTGACTGATCCTGTCTCCTTGTGCCTCAGCACGGGGTCTCCACTGTGGATCCCCCGTGCTGAGGCACATGGAGCCCCTGCACTGAGGCACACAGAGCCCCAGTCAGTCATGAAGCAGCTGGCTAGGGTACAGTGTGCCTTGAATCAGGGCAGCAGCCAGCCCATGGCTGCCTCCTCCCCTATCTCCATGTACCATTCCCCGGCTGGCCAGGACCCAGGGTGCCTCAGGTCAGGGGATGGCTAGCTCCCGCTGAAACCAAGCCAGCCCCTCCTTACAGCACATGGAACAGCAGGACAATGCATCTCACTGCAAAGCACACAAGCAATCATGTTCACTGCTGCACAAAGTAGTGGCACAAATTTGTGCCACTACTATTTGTGTTGCTGAGAAGGCAAGGCCCTGCTTGTGTGGACACCATGTGGCCTGTAAGTCTAGTCGTTTGCACCTGGTGATCTTTTTTATTAAAAAAAATATTCTAAGGAGATACCTTACCTCAGTGTCTCTGATTTTCTATCTAAACAGAAACCACACTGAGAGGTTCTGAATTTCTGCTATTGCTGGAGAAGAAATCCCTAAAAATAGGTTTTTATCTTATAAAAACTAGTAAGTGTGTTAAGTTTCTGAATTTCTGCTACTGCTTGATCAGAATTACAGAATGAAACTATTTCTTCCTAATTTAGCCCTCAATCCTGGCAGAGTCCAACTGAAATCAGTGGGGCTCCACGAGTGCACAAAGGTCCACCCATGAGGAACTTGCTAGTTCAGTCTTATAACATGAAAATCCCTCTGCCTGACTTCAGGTCAACAGGGTTCTTCCCTGTAGTTGATTAATTTGTTTTTACATTATTTGAATATCACCTAATAGTACTTCAGTTTGACAGTCTGTCTTCAGTGGTAAAAGTACTATGTTTTCTCACATACTGTATAGCACACCCCTTAGTATAACACTCACCCTATTTCTGATAGGTCCCAAGAAGAATAAAAGACCTTACCTTGAAGTATACGTATGTGCATAAGGTCTGGGGTTTCCAAGGCTGGAGGACCCGCAGCAGTGTCCAATTTGCTCATGCCAATACTGGGGCTGTGCAAAGGGTCCGACCCTGCACACTGGCTCTGGAACCACATGCCAGATCCAACCTGGTACACAGTCCTGGAGCCAGAATACAATCCAACCTGGCACATGACTACAAAGCTAGCACTCAGGGTCCAGCCATGGGATAACTCTGTGCACTAGCTCAATCCAGCATGTGGTTGGGGAGGGTGGTTCCCCACAGCTCCAGATATTTGGCAGGGGGTTGGGGGAGCTGTGGCAATTAATACTGCTCTGGAACCCATGGGGTAGCCTTACTCTGAATATAATGCACACCCCCAATTCTCCTCAGCTGGTTTGGAGGGAAAAAGGTAGGGGTTATATGTGAGAAAATATGGTGTGTCAACGATTGGGTGTCAAAATATAAGCATCACTAATACAAGAATATATCAACACATGTCTTTTAATAGTATTACTTTAGAGATTTAAAATTATTTTAAAAAATACTTACTACCTATGGCCATCCATGTTTCTTTATCTTCTTCAGACACTTAAAATGAAATAAAACATAATCAGTTAAACTATTATTATAAAAACAATGTATTTCAGAATTTTAAGCAACTATTATAGACAAAATGATTACATTACAGCATTTCATTTTTTGTTCTACATTCTCCCTGAAGATTTTTCAAATTATGAATTAATGTTGTCCGCATATACATGTAATTCTGATTGAAGGCAATGGAGATTAAGGTGCATATTACTGGCAGGGCTTGTTAAAGTCACTAAATATTATGGTTGCCCAACACTTCCCATTACAAGACCACGTTTCCAGTTATAACTTTGAGATTGACCATTCAGGCTGAAATTCCCCAAGCAGGTGCCTGTCTCAGACTGATTTTTCCTGGGAAATTCTACCCTACAAAGAAGGCTAGGGTATTTTCTCCATGGTAAGACACACTTGCAACCTATTATTTGAAAACTTCCTGAAACACCAGGTTTTGTAATAGGGATCTGAACTTCGGCAGGCATGTCCCTTTGTTTCAGGACTGTACTGTGAGTATCCCTTCTGAAAATCTGCCAGAATTTGGCTTATGGGACGCACCCCGAGAGTGGTGGTGGTTGGGTTGGTTTCTACCTGGAGAAATGTGGGCAGTGGTGTCCCCCAAGGCTCTGTACTGGGACTGGGACTGTTCAATACCTTCATTAGTGACTTGGGTGAAGGTGTAGAAAAAACTGACAAGTTTGCAGATGACACCGAACTATGGGGTGGGGTAAACAAACTAGAGGGCAGGGAGCAAATACAGGTGGATTTGGACAGGCTGGGGAAGCGGGCCAAACAGAATAGGATGCAGTTTAACAAAGGTAAGCACCATGTGTTGCACCTAGGGAGAAAGAATCATCAACACATCTGTACCATTCTAAGTAGCACAACTGCAGAAAGGGATCTCGGAGTTGTAATCAACTCCAAAATGAACATGAGTCATCAATGTGATGAAATAATAAGTAAAGCTACCTGCACACTTTCTTGCATAAGTAAGTACATCACAAACAGGTCAAAGGAGGTGATACTTCCCTCTATGCGGCATTGCTCAGGCTGCAGCTGAAGTACTACACCCACTTTTGGGCACTGCACTTCAAAAGGATGTAGATAACCTGGAAACGGTTCAGAGGAGGGACACAGGTTAAAGGCCTACAGGTAAAACCCTATGAGGACCGATTGAGGGACTTGAATCTCTTCAGCCTCTGAAAGAGAAGGTTGAGAGGTGATATTGTGGCCGTCTACAAATTTATTGCCAGGGGGGCGGGGGGCAGCAGGAAATAGGGGATACTATGTTTACCAGGGTGCCTGTCAGGGTAACTAGAAGCAATGGCCACAAACTGAAGGAGAGCAAATTTAGACTGAACATCAGGAAAGAAATCTTTACAGCGAGGGTTGCCAAAATATGGAATACGCTTCCGAGGGAGGTGGTACTGCCCCTTCCTTGGAGGTATTTAAGAGGAGACTGGAGAAACACCTGGCTGGGGTCATCTGACCCCAGCACTCTTTCCTGCCCAGGGCAGGGCATCGGACTCAATGATCTAATAGGGCCCTTCCAAACCTAAAATCTATGAAATCTATGAAAATGTGCCAGAATTTGGCCAGGTTAAAAACTTTTGGAGGAAAGATGACATTTACAATTCACACACGCTTCACAGGGACATCTTAATTTTTAGCAATTGAAATCTCTGAACGTTCCACCCTCACTGGTCATGCCCACTTCTCATTCAACTCTTAGTGCTGATCATATACTATCCCCACAGAGCACTGAATATGCTCCTTTCAGCTCAGGTTACAATGACAAGCCAGATTTTCCCTATAATGGCTGTTCTTGGTTGAGCTGGACTAAGGCCAGGTACTGGAACTGAAAGCAGTCAGCTTCTCTCCTTTGCTCTCAGCAAGCCTTCTCTCTGGAGGGCTGGAACACAGAAGGAAGCTATCTGACTCAAATGCAGAGGGGGCAAAAGCCAGAATGATGAAGGTGGGAAGAAAGCACAGATTGGATAAATCTGTTAAGAATAGGACTGGAAATAGGATAATATCTGTGGCTGGGTAAGGAGACTGGAACTGGATTGGTGGTACTGGATGAGCAAGGCACCAGAATGGCAGCCCTCCAGGGGGTCCCTACACCACACTGCTGCAGCTGTCATTTTTACTACTGTTGAATCCATCACTGTCTGTTGCCAATGGTGACAGAAATCAGTGGCACTTGCAACAAGAGTAAGCAGCAGCTGCAGTACAGGGAGTGTGTGACAGGAGTATCGCTATCGAAGCCTTTCTGGGAGTGGCTCCGCCCTCCTGTAATGGGCCAACCGCCTGCTTACTCGCCTGCCACGCCTTGATCTTGTTTGATTAATAAGTTGTTGTAATCAGCAGGAGGCTGCCCATTTTAAGCGCCCCGATGACAGGGGGCACTACCTGTGGCTCCTTTTCCTCCCTTCACCACAGCTCAAGCCTCGCGGATGGTGCTGACGTGGTTTGCCCTGGGCCCTGTAATGTCTTGGCCCTCCTCTTTACTCTGGGGCTCCCCACTGCCCCCCCTCTCGCTCCGGGGTTCCTCGCTGCCCCCCCCCGCTCTGGGCTGGGGCCAATGCACCCCACAAATGCTGCACCCTCTCCAGTGCCAGGAACCCCCATGCTACTGGGGAGTCCCTATGAGGCCTCCTCCAACCCCTAATAGCCTCACCCGGCCCTCCGGTTAAACAGTAAACACAAAGCACAAAGTCCCTGGGCTATAACATAAAACTAAACTGTCCGGTTGAACAACATTTGATCCCTACCGGGAAAAATACTCCAGCCCCTGGCAGCAAACCAGTGGATACTCATGCAGTCAAACCTTGCCCCTCTCCCTGCACTGGCCGAGCTCCCCCCTCCTTGGCTGCCAGAGGGGAACTGCCACCCTGGCCTCCTGCCTGGGTTTAAGAAGGGCTAAGCCCTGCCCCTTCCTGTCAGCAGGTTTCCCTGGTTGCCCCAGCAACCAGCACCTGTGCTGCCCTGGTGACTGGCAGCTGCGCTTCCCCCTTCTCACCACTAGGGGTCTCTCTTAAGCTGTTTCTGTTCCCAGGCACAGGGCACCTAAGTGCTCTGCGACAGAGTGCAAGAGTACCCACAAGGTTTGTGAAATGCTAGCCCAGGGACATGGGGCAAAAATTACACATAAACTGGTATAAGCAATCAGAAACCAGTTCAAATCTGTAACGCAACAGAAATTCAGCACACACAAACCTCTTTGAAAATGGCTGAAACTGGTTTAAGATAAACCTAGATGGATATCATATCAGACTTAACTGATTTAGGTGAAATAGGCTTATTGAACTTCTATCCCAGATTCCCTGCAGATTCACGTGAACTCACAGCCCCCCAGCATCCCAGGATGCTTTGAACCACCCCTGCAAAATCCACTTTGCAGGATGGATAGGATACCCTCAGCCCAAGCTGTCAGCTTCAGTAGAGCAGAGAGGTACACTCTAGCACCTCCTGACTTCTGACCTGGGTCACTGCAGGCATGTAGTTACTTTTTCAGAATCAAAATGAATGTCTGTTCACTTGTTTATTGGTTTAATCTATGCAACTTAAACTAACCTGAGAAGACTGAATCGATTCGATTGGGCTTATTGACTATCTGTACTTAGCTTGGGTGATATTCAGTGGCATGTGATGGAAGGGGAGAACAATGGAAGCAACCAAGGTGCAAGCAGCAGCCCACCCTATGTCCAAGCTACGTTACTTTGGTCCACCCTTTGTAAAAGGTTGCCTGCCCCTGGTTTATAACATTGTCTGTCACACTCATATTCAGTTGATTATCTTGGGAAGCAGTAATTCTGAAAGACATTTAGGGTTAGTGATAAACAGAGTCCCGGATAGTGTACACATGACCTATTTTCTTTATTTCTGTTCCAGGAGGCAAGATTTCATATTTGCACATTAAAAAGTGCTTTCATGGTGCCAAGCAAGCATGCAACCATGCAGGCAATATCCTTAAGCCAAAATCCTCAGTAACCTGTCCTCTTTGTTTTTTGCCACATCCAGAACCTGCCAACTGCAAATTTTCAGTAATGATTACATTTTTTTCAGGTCACTGATTAAAAATGAAAGCTCAAATAATATGGGACCAAAAACTTACCTATGTAGGACCCCACTGGAAATAATTATAATTCCCATTTCACAATTATATTTTGAGACCCATTTTACCCATTTTAATCATGCTAATTTTGGATCATTCTAGTTTTCTAATCAAATATCATGTGGTACCAAGTCAAATTCACTGCAGAAGTCTATGGAATCAATACTATTATTTTTATCAATCAAACCTGACATTTCTTTATGAGATTACAAGGTAGTGAGACAAGATCTGCTTTTCCATAAACCAATGTTGATAGGCATCAAGGCTATCCTCCTTCAATTTCTGATTAATTAAATCCTCTATCAGCTGTCCCAGGAATCAATGTTAGGTCAATAGGCCTACAGTTTCCCAGGCTATCTTATTAGCTTTCCTCTAGTCTCTGGAACTTCTCAGGGAGTTACAAGATTTACTGAGGAGAGAGGGAAGGAACAAAAAAGTCAATGAAAACTACGCAGATAGCTCCTTAGCCACCACCTTTAAAACTCTCATATATATCCCATACAAAAAACTAAGCTACTAAAACCTCTAAGGTTAAATAGTCAAACATCAAAGAAAATGACAGATATGGCTGTATGGGGCAACCTTAAGTCCTGTCTCTTGTACATATGCATTTTCAAACAGATTTAACTATTTCCTTTTTTAAAAAAACAACAACAACAAATCCCCAAAAAGACAAAGCTAAAAATAAACAACCCAGCCTCATGAGAAAAGTATATAATAGCTACCCCACTGAAGTTGGCATCTAGGAAAAAACTCTTATAAAGGACTACTGAAATACAGGAAATAGTCACAGGAATCAGGGGGACAATGCAAGGTTATTAGTTCAGCTTGCTTTAGGAAGCTATATGGACTAAGAGTATGGAACTACCGAAGGCTTCCAAGAGCC